ATATATTGAAAATTCAGTATTTGAGATAAAATATTTCTTTACGATTTTCAAAGATAAACAGGAAATTCAACGTCCTAACTGCTAACCCGTCTGCATTTTTAGCTATTTTCTCCGATTTTACCCACAGAAAATAAGATTTTCCAGATTTTTATCCGTCCGCCGGGTAGGTTGTATTTTCGTAATTCAGGCGCTGCTGCTTCCTCTTTTCTGGCATGAAAGCAAACGAAAAAAATAGAGGTGGATTATCGGTGAAAATATTTATTTGCTCATTCAATTAATCCGGGAAATTTTATTTATTATGTCTGAACAAAAACAATACAAACAAGCCTTGTAGAAATTCCAAGTCCAAACTTTGCAAATATCTCGATTCTTATTCACACGATTTTAATATCAATCATAGATTTTTTTATATTTACAAGATTTAAAAGTTGCTTATTTTGATTCATATTTACAGGATTTAAAAATCCAGTATCGCCTATAGTATTTATGCATTTTTGAAAATCGCGATTTTATTATCAAACATCGATTTTCGTATTTACCTGATTTTGTTAGACAAATAGAGGTTAAAAGGTATGAGGTTCGATCTTCGGTCGTCGATCTCATGCATTCAACTAGCATCGGTGACTTCATGGTCTGCGGAGATCTGCTAGTTTATTTGCATTTGCTGTTGGTCGTTCTTGCGAGGATCATGACGTCACCCGTTATCTGTATTTAAGCTTCTGTTGAAGCAAATAATTTGGGGTATTTTTTCTTTTCGTCACTCTGTGTGTGACATTCTTTATTACTAATGTTTTTAAATAAACTCATTTCTTTAGAAACTTCGTTTCTCTTTTTTTGTTGAGTTGTTGATATACAGATATGATATTCTGAGAGAATTTCGGCTGTCAGATTTAAAAGATGCGCATTGCGATTCTTATTTACGTGATTTAAATATTGTACATTATGATTCTTATTTACGATATTTGAAAATCCAATATCGCGATTTGTATTTACGCACTTTTAGAAGCCTATGTGGCGATTCATATTCACGTGAGCTTAAAATCCAATGTCGTGATTCGTTTTTGCGGTTGTAATATCAAACAGCAATTCTTGTATTTATACGTGTTTTAAAAATTAGACTTTGGGATTTGTATTCATGCGATTTAAAAATCATGCAACCGTGATTCGTATTTACGTGATGTAAAAATTATGCGTCATGATTAGTGTTTTCACATTTTTTAAATTCGATATTGAATTTCATAGTCTCGTGATTTAAAAGCCTTATATCGGGATTCATATTCTCTTAATTTAAAATCATGCATGTGATTCATATTCATGCATTCATACAATTCTAAAATTAATCATCGAGATTTATAATCGCATGGTTTACAAGTTTAAAAATGGCCCTTTTTCGACGTATAACCTATTTCCATTGAGGCTTCTTAATCTAGCAAGTATAAAACATTATAGAAATCTCGTGAGGTAAGCAAGACTGAATAAATCAAAACATATTTTAGTGTGGAGAGAAACAGGAAAAATTAAAAGCTATTAATGATTAAATAATTTTTTAGGTCTTTTTCCAAACTGAGAGACCATTGATTCACTTGCTGTTTGATGAAATTGTGTCTCTAGTTAAGGCATTGGTAAGGCGTTTTTTAAAGAGTTGTGCTTTTCTTAGTTTGCCAGGAAAGGACTAAAAATCATTAGATGTAGAAAACACAGAAATTTTCCAAAATTCAAATTTAATAGATATTGAACTAGATGCCACAAAGGCAATGACATCCTTATCTTTAGAAAAAAAAATATATGTATTTAAGTGCTAGGTCTTTTTACTTAGCATGTGCAAAAAAGTTATTAAAAGAATTGCCTGTTGAAAATAGGTTACTGCACCATCTTAAAGTGTTGCATCCTATTATGAGAATCGAAGACACTTCTATTAAGTCAAAAAGATATGTGGCAACGGTAACCGAATCCATTTTAAAACCTGAAGAGGCATTTTTGTTACTAGATTAATGGACGAGGTTATGTGAGGAACCAGAAGGTTGTTCTTCTGACTCAAATGAATATGCACTAATTGATGTGTTTTGGAAAAACTATTTTGTGAGGACACATAATTTGGGAAATATCAAATATCTTCTTTTGACAAAGCTTTTTAGTGCATACGACACGTGAATGCTGATGTTGAAAGAGGTTTTAGTGTAAACAAAAAGCTACTTCACAGTAGGGCGAGTTTAAATTCACATGGTGTTAATGGTTTGAGACAAGTTGTGTCACATATCAACAAAATGGGGGGCTTAAATAACTTTAAAGTTTATGATTAAAGTGGCTCGTGCAGCATTTAAAAATTATTCTGCTTGATTAGAGGTTGAGAAAAAAGAAAGCATGAAGATTGTGAAAACACTGAAACTGAGGAAAACAGATTGAAAGCTGCTGAAATTGATTTTCAAAAAAAAAAAAAAAAAAAAAATTGAAGGCTTCTCAAGATCTCTTGGCCACAGCTGAAAAAAATATTAAAGATGGGTAAGATGGATAATAAAGACATGTCGATTATAGAAAACGGACAGATCTGAGGCAAGTTGAGTACAGAATATTTAACAGCATTGGAAGATACCTAAAAGAAACTTAATTTGTTAATGCAGGGACCTTCAAAAGGAATTTAAAAAAAAATGTTATTAATGAACAAAATTAAAAATTCTTGTTATTAAACTCTTTATTTAATTTTTCTTATTAAATATGCTCCAATTATTTGTTTTGCTGCTCCAAAACCGTGTTTTCCCAATTGCACCCATGGGTGCAAGTCTTCCGTCCCCAGGACGGATTTCCGTCTTTCGAAAATGTCCGCGGACGGAAGAAAGACGGAAACAAGACTGACTTGAAGATGGAAATCGGAATTTTTTTTCTCTTCTGTCCTTAAAAATACTTTTTAGGTCTACGTTATTGGTCTACTTTCTTATGTCCTGTTGTTATTTTATCAAAAGACAGATGAATAAATATTTTTTGTACAGTATTTAAACTTGAAGTATTATGGTAAAGCTTTCTTAGATAGTTTGCATATGTCGAGGGGGTATTGTGTATGTTAGGTATTTCAGTCAAAAAATTTTCAGTCTTGGCCTTCTTTCTAACTTGCACCCATGATTGCACCACTGAAGCAGGGTAAAATGCATTTCCACACGCTATGAATTTTTTGCCAAAGAGGTAACTGCCATCTTTGAACAAGCTTTCAGAGCCCAAACAATAGACTGGCTCTCTCTACCCTAATATCTCGCTTGGCAATTGTAGGTTTTCCTTTACTGTTTTTCATTTTTTTCCACTCTTTCGGTTACTGTGGTTTTTCTAATTTTGGAAATGGTTTTTTCAACTTTATTTCGGTAACTATTTTTGAGAGACATGTAGACTGTTATTTATCTTTTGTATATTTTGAATCTTAATATCTAACTGCTCCGGTTTCTTGGAATAATACCTTTCAGTTTCTGTATTTAATATTGATAAGTTTCTTAAATGATATGTCTTATATCTATATGTATCCGGAAAAGATACTAGGCTTATCTTTTTGTGCATTATAGTTTTGCTTATTTATTCTCTTATTTAAAGGCATTCACCAAAAATATTTACTTATCACTCCTTTTAATATTTTACTCTATTACATTTTAATCACCAAGCAAAATTAATTATTAATAATAAAAAGTTATTAATTTGCTTCAATGTAATAAATTAACGTTTTATCCCGACTCTATATCACTTTAAAATTTTAATTATATTTTATTTTTCTTACAGATCTGTTATAATGTGGAAATGCAAAAGTTACTGAAATTCCTTAAAACTGTAAAAAGAGACTTTTACTACCAGCAAGTTCTCTTGGATTTGTATCATCAAATGAAAATCTTTATGAATAGCAACGGTTACGCCTCTAAAGGCTTACCTGATTTAGAACACCTGATAAAGCTAAGAAGCATCCGTGATGTTATACATTCTAGTAAAATAGAACAATGGAAAAAATTATTCAATTACATTAAATCTAATGATCTTTCTGAATTTGTTAAACCTTTAAAGGAACTAATCGAAGAATATGAAGAATTTAAGAAATTTCCTTCATATACAGCCAAGGTTGGATATATTCTAGATAAAATTTTTTTAATAGGGCAAAATTGCAGAGACTACACATTGGAAGAAAAAAGAGAAATTGCTGCCTTAATTGTTCCCTGCCTTCAACCGTTAAAAGTATGCATTAAATCAATTTATAGAACACCAAGAACAAGACTCGACTGCTATATTCGGCAAAGAAGGTCGGCTTTACAATTTATAGCTGAGGAATACTCTCGGTTTCCTCTAGATGGAAAAATTTTAGCAAACGATTTGGAGAAAGTAAGCCTAAAAGAATCCATTGAAATACTAGATAACCTAATCGAAGAGTATCGTGATTTATCATCAGAAGATTCAGATACCGACTTGGAAGAAGCAGGTTCAACTCTAATGCCACGCAGTCATTCATGGTGGACCAAATAAGTTATAGTTCATGATTTTTTTTTTTTTTTTTTTTTTTTAAAAAAATCAAAAACATCAGATTATTTTGATTTAAATCTGATTTTTTTTTTTATTTAAATCTGATTTTTTTTTTATTTAAATCAGATTTTTTTTTATTCAAATTCACTATAAGAACTTTAATTTATTATTAAAAAAACTTCATAAATGTTTAATCAAAATTAAATTAATATTAAAACTATATTATAACAATATTTTAGAAGCTCTAACTCACTAAAATAATTTTTCATTATAATGCATAGCAACCATTTTGATACAAAGGCATGATTGAAATTAAAAGACAAGATAAAATAGATAATTTAAAGAATACTACTTTGAAAGGGAAGAATGACACTATATCTGAACACAGCCTTTTTTTTTTTTTTCCTTTCTATTTTTGGCATATTAAGGTAATTTCTTTTTTATATAACCTCAAGCTTTAGAAATATAGAAATTTCCATCTATAAACTATAATGTAGATTCGAATTCCATGCTTTTTTAATCAAAAGGTAGAATTTTAATTAACATTTGCTTTTTTTCTTTTTGAAAAAAAATCAGGTTTATTTAATTTCTACAGCTATGCAAGTCTATTAAGACAGCATTAAATATTTACTTTAATCTGTACTTTCAATGTTAAGAATCAAAAAATTTTTAAACCTGTAATTTCAAATGTGTTTAACACACACCAAGAAAGAAAGTAATTTCGTTTACTAAAATTAATTAATGCAGCAATTTATTTAAAATAAATTTTGAAACTAAGAAAAGAAAATAATAAAAGTATCAATAATTTAAAGCACTGTTTTTTAACTTTTAAAATCAATATAATATATATATATATATATATCAGTTGATTTAAATCATTGTTTTTTTAAAGAAGTTTTTTGTGTTTAATCATGATTTAAATCAAGCTGATTTAAATCAACGAACGTGTATATACCCACTGGAATTATCAGGGAATTTTAAAAAAAAACTGGAAATTTTTCATTAGATATTTTTTCAATTTCACTAATTTATATTATTTACTAATTTTCTTAATTTAAATTATTTCATCCATTATACCCGCATTTTTTGAACGGAAATGTATCTCCAAACAGTTAAAATGTCAGCAACTTAGCTATACTTTGCTTGCATCAAAATTTGCTACATTATAACCTGTTAAACTAGAATGCCATATAAAATTCTCTCATGGTTGCTGAACAAATGTAGAAACCTTTCCTATGGGACTGTACAATTTAGGAAAGGCAAAGATTGTGCTAGACAAGATTGTGCTAGACTTGGAAGAAGGGATTAGGATATTTGCTTCTGTATTAAAATTCTGTCAATGGGCTGAATCCATTAATGGCTCGAGTTTGTTTCGATGCTTTGGTGGTAATTTTTTTCTATTTTGTCAAAATGTTTTTGTATTTTAATCTTAATAAAATTCTCCAAAAATTAGTTGGTTATAATTTAATAATATATTGCACTCTTTTTCTGAAAGCTTTTGTACTTCCATTCAAAAAAATCTGTAAATTATTTTTTCTCGACAAATTAACCAATCACACATTTCTTTACAGTCGCTGAACAGCAATGTTTGTGAACAAATTGTTGCATTAGTGCTAGTTTTCTCTATTTCATTTTAACGTTTTATGGCATATTTTAATTTTTAAAAAAGGTTTTTTTAGTTTTCAGAACTAACTATATATTAACCCGCCAGGACGCGTGCCTCCCTTACTTACACGAAAGCGCGCGTGGGTCCTTATGGACCCCACTAGCCTAAATTATGGTTAAAGCTTTTTTCACTGTAACATTTGACAACAATATGATAATAATAATTAAATTTAAGTTTTTCAAAAATTAGTAACACACGATATCTTTAAAATACTCACAATAATCCAAGAAAATAGCATATTTATTCGACGTAATACTCTATACCAGTGATTATCAAACTTATTTCTTTTACCGCCCCCTTTGAAAATCAATTATTTTTCAGCGCCCCCCCTTTTTTATACACCCCTAAAACTTAAAAACCACAATTTCATTACTTTAATTAATTTAGTTACACAGTAGAGAACCGATTACCCGGAACGATCGGGACCATCGCGATTCCGGATAACTGATTTTTCCGGTTTTCTGAATCGCAACAAAATGCCGTTTTTTGATTGTTTATAAAACGAAACTAAAAAATTTTTTTGAAATAGTTTTAGAAATAATAAAAAATGATGAACAATAATACTCTTAAGTTTAAATAAGGAAAGAAATTATGAAATAAAAATTATATACAGGCTTATATATGTTATTAATGTTATTATTAACATTAATAACATATATAAGCTATTTGTACTTATGTGAGATTCGTCTACAAACGGCTTTTGATCCGTCCTCTAAATCAGTTCTTTCGTCAACTCGATACGCCGTAAGCTCTAAATAACAAAATGGGCTCAAAATCTTGCAGGAAAAAAAAAATTTTTTTAATGGAAGAAAATTAATTTCCAGTTCCAAATTTCATTCCGGTTACATGGTTTTCTGATTTCCGGATAAGAGGTTCTGCACTGTATTAGTCGGTTCTGATGTTTAAACTTGCATTCTGAGCTAGAAATTGTTACCAGTGAGAGCAAATAAAACACCCAACTTTATAATATTAATGACATATTTTAATCAAATTGAAAGAAACAATATAAATATGTAATCAGTTTTCGTTTTTATACTAATCTAATGAGATGGATGAATTTGATGATATTTAATAAGTTTGTTGATATCAGGTTCGATTTTACTCAAAAACAGTCGTAAGTTGCCGCGTTTGATAACTTGCAAAAGATTTCTCTTTTTAGTAAGCAGCGTTGTCACAGCGCTAAATCCACGTTCACGCAAATATGACGATGGGAATGCTATCAAAAATCGTTCAACGATAGACCACACTCCAGGGTACAACTGCGGAATTGACTTTTGTAGCCAAAATTGTTGGTAGCCATTTTTGTATTTGATTTTTATTTCCTCGTTCGTTGTCAGTTCTATAAGTTCTTCTTCCAACTGGGGTGATATTGCTATGTTGACATTTGAAAAAGGATCTAGCATCCAGTCTGGTATTTCCAATTTCAAAATGTCCTGCAATATTTCAATGAAATCACTGTGAAGATTTTCCAAATGTTTTGCAGTAGACGAGCAAGTCGTCGTTGTTGCAGGATACTGATAAATTGGGAAAATTATGGAACTCACGTCTGCCGATATTCTTTTTGTGTAGGAGCAGCTTGGCTACGAAACATTTTTTGTTTTTATTAAGTTCAAGTCATCGCCTTGAATTTGGTGATTCATATCCTTAAGCAATGTATAAAGGTCTGGCAGGTATGCGATATCATTCTTTGATGTGATGAGGTTTTCGCGCAATTCTGCATCTTTGTTTTCCAAGAACTCTATGACAGAGTCAAACAGATTGTAAAAACGAGTCAGATAATTTCCTTTTGATAGCCAACGCACTTCTGTGTGAAAGATTAATCTGTTGAAATCTTCATCATTATCAACACAAAGCTGATTAAATAATCTGTCATTTAAAGAGTTGTTTCGGATTTTATTGACTGCTCTGATGACATGTTGCAATGATTGGAATAGTCGTTCACTTAAATTTCTAGAAACTAAATGCTGTCGATGTATAACGCAATGTACAGCAAGCACATCAGGAATTTTCTTTTTTAAGTACGATATGAAGCCTTTTTGACACCCCGTCATAGCTGAAGCACCATCTGTAACAGCTGATATATTATTCTTCAACAGAATTCCTTTTTCATCACAAAACTTTTCCAGTGTTTTAAATACGGTTTCTCCTTTCGTGTCTGTCTCTAAATTTCTAGCAAATAAAAGTTCTTGACATATTTTTTCATCTTTAATAAATCTCACGTAAGACAACAACAATGCTTCATTAGTTGGTAAAGTGGACTCATCCAACTGAATTGAAAATTTACTAGTCTTCAGATGATTGCACAATGACTTTTCAATGTTTTCAGCCATTTCATCAATTCGTCTTTGGACAGAACTATTGCTCAAAGGAATTTTTCGAATTATATCTGCCGCCGGTTTATGGAGCACAGTATAAGTATAACTTCTTTTATCGCCGGCAAAATTAACGTTTCTCCGATGGTGTGTGGTTTACCTGTTTGAGCAATTAACAGAGAGATACTGTATGAAGCTCGAAGTCCGTCATCGTCTTGCTTAGCAGCCATCGAAAGAAGTTTCGATACACTTGGCTGAGCATTATGCTTCTTTTCCAGATCTTGAAAATAGGCTACATTTTTGTCATTCTTATCCGGATGCATTTTATTCAAATGATCTTGAAGTCTTGAAGGCTTCATCGCTTCGTTCTGGTGCAATGTAATTAAGGTAAAATTGCTCTAATTTTTTAACTATCATCGATCATGTTCCTTTATCTATCCGCAGAAACTTGTTACAACTTGATTGCGTACGGTGTGCGGGCTATCCTACGAAATCTATGTTAAGTATTTTAAGTTTTTATAACATCATACAGGGTAGAAATATAAACTAATTATTCGTTATTGTGTAGTAGGTGGGTTTTAACTTTAGTGAAATTTAAAATACCATATAAAGTAAATGAAATTACAAATTAGACATCGCCCCCCTAACCCACATCGACGCCCCCCATTTTTTCTGGGCCTCTTAACGCCCCCCTCTAGGTTTCAAACGCCCCCAAGGGGGCGTTATCGCCCACTTTGAGAAAGACTGCTCTATACTGTCTTCCTTCTCTTATCTATTCTTTATTCCTGAAGTTTTGACATATACTAAGTGTGTTTTCTTTGCACAAAAATTTTTCATATGTTACGCATGCAGTTATTACGTGGGCAAATGTAGCAATGTCCATTAGATTCCAGAGCTTTCTGCTTTAGACAAGAAGTATACATAAACACATAATGTTATACCATTTAATTTTTCAAAAAAAGTATTTTGACAGCAATTTTTATCAAAAAATTATTAACTAAAAAATGTAAAATAAAAAATTCTCAGGGAAAAAAGAAACGATTTTAAAAATTCTTTATATTGAAATAAAAACTTTCATATTGTTTCTTTTTTTATTCTTATAGTTCTTAATCAGACGTAAAAAACCATTCTGTAGAAAACTATCAACAAATAAGAAAAAAAATATTTACAAGCAAATTTTTTATTATAAAAATCATAACACTCACCTGTTTTATAAATCCGCAGAATTCCAAATGAAATGTTCTTCTCTTGAAAATTTTATTTTCAAATAATATATGCATAGATTATCTCTTCATTACTTTTAGATAACATACCACACATCAAAATTTTATAATTGTAAGATCTCGATATGAATTTGAATATGCAGCTTAAAAGCAGAAAAAAAACGATAAAAAACTATTTTACCGTAATATGCACATCTGTAACAGCAAGTGATCATGAAATCCGAAGTTATGTTGTTGGTAATAGAATGGTAAAAATTATTGTGATGATTGCAATGAGAAAGCTTCGTTGATTAGTCAGATTTTTCCGCGCAAGAATATATTTCATTCTGATACATATTGATTATGAATGGTGTTTTCAGTGTAAATGTTAGTAACAACAATCTCGAACTCTTGACTTGCTTCACTTCCTGTTAGAAAGTATACATCTGCTTACTACAGCTTATTCTGAGATATTTTCAAACTGATAATTTTTTTTAATCAAAGAAATAAATTATCTAATTTCTAAGCTCAAATCTGCTGTATTTCATAAAATATTAAGTAATTTTATATTAAGTTTGAATTGAGAATTTGTTTTCATTGTTTAGGTAGGTATTTTTACTTACGTCACAATAGAGCTGCACAATGGTTTATTGGCAACGGTCTGGGAAACACCCTTGAGGATGATCTGAAGACATGCCATCATAATTTTGATCTTCTGCAGAGGGGATGGCACCCCCGCTTCGGTAGCCCGATGACCTGCGCGCGAAGTCGAGCACTTTAGGGTAAAACAGTTTAACAAGGACCAATACCGCACACTCTCGGTCTCTACGTAGACTGATCCAAGTGGTCACCCACCCGCACACAGCCACTGATGCTTGACTTCGTTGATCTGCTGGGAACCGTGTCTTAACGATCAGTCCTCTGCTTGGCTTGTTTCGGAAAACTATACGAATTCTAAAACGAATAACAAAACTAATGTGAGTTGTTTCTGTTATTTATAACATTATTTTCTAATATTTACTTGAATCACACTTACATTACTCCGGTTTTATAAAAATATTTTTGTATAACTTTAATTTACTTGTTTAATATTTACGTTTCGAAACTTATGATGATCTCAATGTGCATATATAGTTAAAATTGTTACTGTTTGCGATACAAAATTGATTTTCGAAAGAAAAAAAAAACGATATTAACTTTAAGAACTTAACAATTTTAAAAAATAATCCTTTTCTGTAGAATACTTTAACTTTTTTTAATAATTCATTGAGTTAATGTAGTATGATATTCAAATAGCGTTTATTTTACTTTGTAGATATGTGAAATATGTGGAAAAATAGACACGCATAAAAAGAATATGATTCAACATTTGTAAATTCACTCAAATGAAAAAGACTTTAAATATCGTTTATGTGATAAGGGGTTTAATCGAAAGTGTAATTTGAGTATACATTTAAAAACTCATGAAAAATCGAGAAACTTTTGAATGTGAAGAATGTAAAAAGACCTTTTTCGAAATGATAATTTAAAGAGGCACTTACTGACTCATTTAGTTTCGCATAAGTTTAATTTGTGTAGTGAATTTTTTAAATCAAAATCTGATTTACTCAATCATGTCCGATCCATTCACACACCGTCTTGTTCAAGAAAAAAAAAGAAAGATCATTCCACAAATAACAATAAAAAGATGAAGAAATAGTGTGAAAATGCATTGGAAGTGTTTAAGAAAGAGACAACGAGAATTAGGAAACTATGAAGTTGTAATCGAGAGCCACATATCTCAAGTTTTTTGAAAAGTTTTTTCGGCTAATTCATAGAAGTGGGAGTCTGGATGAATTTTGTAGAAAGTAGTATTTAAATATGGGTCCTTGTCCCGCACTCTGAATAGTTCATTGAACCAACGGATTCTCCTGCCTTTATGATTTAAAATTAATGTTTAAATGATTTTATAGAAAATATTTATTGATCTAACGTAATCTAAAGTAATCATGTTAAAATCTTAACGAGCTAAGAAATAATGTAGCATTTTTATTTCTTTTTAACAAAATTTTATATTTTTTTTCAGAAAATATGTATGTTTTTTGCAAAAAATTTTCTCTTTTAAGGAAATATTTTAACTTTTTGTTAAAAATTTGCAATCTTTATAAAAATATTTCTAACTTTTTAACAAAATTTTCTATCCTTTAATAAAATATTTATGTTTCTTACAAAAAATTTTCTCTTTTAAGAAAATATTTTAACTTCTTGTTAAAAATTTGCTAGTTTTATAAAAATATTTCAAACTTTTTAACAAAATTTTCTATTTTATCAGAAAATATTCATGTTTTTACGAAAAATTTTGTCTTTTTATAATAATTACAGTTACTTATATCAACTATACATATATCAAAAAATAACTAAACTTCTAACATTTTAAGTATAGATGACACCATTAGAATATATATAAAATGATAACATTTATTTTATTAAAACCTTAAGTTTTTCCTCTGTACATTCACAGGATACTGGTTAACGAAACCAAGCCCACTTCTTGTCGTCGGACTAAGCGTAGGAGGTTTTCCTCTTCATATGGCAAGAGTACTCACAAAGTCCACTTCGAAGACATGTATTGTCTCAAGATCTAGGAGTTCCCTTGTTTTCTGGGTTCAAAAATGACAAGACTGCATTAATAACCGTAAATCCCGTACGTGGTGATAAAATCAAATCTACAATTGTTAAATATCTAATCTTATAAAATAATATTCATTGATTTAAAATTAATATGTCTTTAAGTCTAATACTTTTAATATTTACAGTACTTAATAAATATAATTTTTATTTTAATATTGAATCAATTTATTTAAAATGTATTAATTAATATTGATTAGGTTAATAATAATTAAAATCTATTATATCAACTATATTTATATTAAAAATAGCTAAAATTAAGAGTTATTAATATATTTTCGTTTTAATATTTAAGTGTAGATGGAGCCATTAGAATAAAAATCGTGTGCATGATATCATTATGTAATAATGTTTATTATATAATTAATGTTATAATAATGTTATGTTTATTATGTAATAATTAAAACGTGCTGGTCAGTACCGTTGCCATCCAGAGAAAGTTATAATATCCTTAAGAGGGGCAGAAATAATTATTTAATAACTGTCAAAGATTTAGTGAAAATATATCGATGAAACTGTAGGATGATATCGGTCCCGCAGTGGACTGATCGTTAAGACACGGTACCCAGCAGATCACCGAAGTCAAGCATCACTGGCTGCGGTCAGTGTGCGGGTGGGTGTCCACTTGGATCAGTTTGCGTAGGGACCGAGGGTGTGCGGTATTGGTCCTCGTTAAACTGTGCTACCGTAAAGTGCTCGACTTCGCGCGTAGGTCGTCGAGCTACCGAAGCGGGGGTGCCATCCCCTCCACAGAGGATCAAAGTTGTGATGGCATGTCTTCGGATCAACCTCCGGGATGTTTCCCAGACCGTCGCCAATAGCCCATTGTGCAGCTCTAGTGCGACGTAAATTAACAACAACTTCGTAGGATGATATCGAAATCAAATCCTTTTTGTTTATACACGGGTTCAAAATACCAAAGTTAACTTATTTACACATATCTAACCAAGCATTCGTGGGTCAGTGGTTATGATATCCAACTACTGACCCACGAAGGCTTTTTGATTGGCGTGAGTTCGATCCTCAGCCTTAATTATATTTAATAAATAATATTAAAACAGATTTAAATATTAAAATAGATTTAAAGTTATTTTATTTCTAAAATTCTCACATAGATGGCACCACTAGAGTAAAAGTATGATATCATTT